AATTGGATTAAGTACATATACATTATAACACCGGCTGCAATTTAGGTTGGCATCCCCAGAGTTCCGCATTAAGGTAGCTATGGAACGGTAGGCGGAGTTCGCCACCAAGATAGCGACAACAACAACAGCAACGTCCAAGTTCGCTACCACGCTAGCGACAACAACAGCAGCCTTTCCAAATCCTGGACACCCAATGACAGCAGCCTTTGTCCAACTGTACCCACGTACTGCGGACGCAACTAAATCAACAGAACACCGGATTGGGTCCTGTCACGGTCGCCAATGCCGAAGCGCTAGTTTACGCTTCCCAAAAACTTGTATTATTAATTTATTTTCGCGACAAAGTAGGGCAGTCGTATGCTCCTAAATACAACATTAACGAACAAAAAAAACTTGCTAATTGACACACTAAATAAAACTTTGCAGCAAAGTCGAATCACGCGTGCGAAATACAAAATAAGGTGTTGACCGGTCAGTTGGCTTGTATACAATAATTCACTTCATTTTTTTATCAAAACGAATATAGCCTCGTTGATTCTTATGTACTACGTATATATGTACAGTGAAACCTCTCCTAACGGACACCTCTATTAGACGAACACCTCCCTTGGGCGGACATTTTTCCCTATACCAAGATTTAAGAATAAATTTCGGAACAAATTACTCTCTCTTAAGGCGGACGCGGACAGTTATTTTGCATAAAATTGACACAAAAACTCTATTGGGCGGACGCGAACCTCTTATCAACGGACATTAAGATTTCTTTTCATAACAAATCAAACAAAAACCTCCGTTGAGCGGACGCGGAATCCTGATAGGCGCACTACTAAATGGAAAAAGGGGACTTCCCGCACAAAATGTGATTGTTATGCACACATTTAGTTTGGTTTGCGCAGTGGTTTAGGTTCGTTATTTGAATTGTCAGAAACCCTTGGAGACTGATAAAAACATGAAAACTATTGATGAAAAAGGTACTGACACTGAAAAAAATTAAAAATAAAACTTACGTCAATCGACAATTTCCCAGTTTTTTATGTAATGAGTCTATGATTTTATGTAGTTTATGGACTAAAATGTAATATTTATTTTTATTTTGTTATTACTGAATATGTAGATACGCACATAAATAAAATGTGCACTTTTGAAAAACTACATGCACATTTTTGTTTGAACGATGTAATATCAATATCTTTTATTCAAATAAGAAACAGTGACTATTCAATTAATTAAAACATTAAAAATTTCTAAAATAGGCTTCCCTCTCCCTCGGACACCTCTCTTGGGCGGGCAAAAAATGACTGACGGTGAGTGTCCGCCCAAGGGAGGTTTCACTGTATACTAGTGTGAGTGTATATTCAGCGGTCACGCAGGGCTGCTCTATTTACAAAATACTCTGTTTTAAAAGTTGATAAATTTTAGAGTGCATAAGTTAGTGCAACTATGCATAAGGGCTGTTCAGGATCTTGTGCATGTGATCATGAATTTGCAGAATTGAATTCATTTGTAACAACAACACGAAAGTGCAAATATAAGATTTGTAACAGCAATTATAAATGCAAATCCAAGATCATTAGCACAACATCCTGAAAAGCCCTGTATGTAGTATTTAAATAATACAATTCATTTAATGTTGTACATATGTATATATAGAAGCAAAATAATACTTCAGCACTACATCCAAAGATTATATTCAAATATTAATGTATGATTATATCAAGAAATATGAAGTATTACATACATATGTAAATACAATTCATGTGCAAACAAATATGAGTTGGATATGTAAAATGAACATACTATATCTTCTATAATATATATAAAATTAAAACCCAAAAAAACGTGAGAGCAAAACAGCCGATGTACTGGGTCGATTTCTATGATTCAAGTTATAAAATTACATATTTCTACCACAGTAGGAGCCTGTGGTATTTTTAAAATGAAATTTTAATAATAAATATGTTTAATTAAAGTATTAAGTTGATCAACAATACCACGCATTGCAAGACCGTTTGCCTTTCACGCGTTTGTGTTTAGAGAGCATCAACAAACCACATACATATTTCTCTCTATTCCCTTCTCTTTTTATACTCAGCTAGCACAAAGCGAAATTTATGTAGAAACAGCGCTGCGCCCAAAAGCGAAATTTATGTATGTACAAGCAGCGCTGCGTTCAAAACAAACAAACACTGTACATCGTGTATTTCGTTTAGAAACTGTTGTTTTTTTTTACTTCAAAATGCTAAAATGCTGCATGCTGCGATATCGGTACATGCTCACCGTAAGCATCTTGGTGTGACATACATATACATACATACATTGATCTTCAGCTTTTCCTTTATTTCAAAAAGATGAAGTTTGTGAAAAAAGTTGCCCGTGCTGTAGTAGCATGCAAAATAAATAACACAAAGAAATGTCTGTTTCGCTTCATGCAAATTCCGCACAAAACAAAAGTCAACAATGTTAGTTCAACAGATCAATATTCAGTCAATCCAATTAGATTTTAATACATGCGTACATATGTACATATGTATGGTCAAATTAGAATTGATATGGTAAAGTTATTTAGCCCTATTTTTTATGGGAATCCTGCCTCTATCTCTATGTATTTACAAAGTGGAATTTCGTTACTAAATACATAAAAAAAAATTTAAAAATAACAGAATAGTGCGAAGTATTTAAAAATGCTTAAAGCTAAAAGAGATTTGCCAAGACAAACGAGAGACGCACGGGCAATGGCCCGTATTCGGAGAATAGTAGCGGCGACGCGAATAGAAACGATGCCTGCAATCGGAATTAGCGTTTATTTATCGACTTTAAATAAACTATATAGGTGATTTTTACAATAAAAGTCTATCAACACATATCAGTGCCGTACCTATCAGTGTGAGTGAAAAATATAATATCGTTGCCACAGTCCCAAATAGAGTTGTTCAGACCGTCCGGCACAATGCGGTTTTTTACTGTCAGTGCTGCTTCAGTGTTCGTTCCGCAATTTATTTATACACTTTAAAAACTGCCACTGAAAAGTGTTTATTTTCACATAAAATCTGTGTAAGTATACGCATAAGATGTTCAAGACTGGATTTTTGAACATGAGATGTTTAAAATACTCACATGAAATGTTGAAAACTGCAAACGCAAAAATACATTCTCTACTAAAAATAAAAACTAAGTACATTTTATGTGCAATTTTGCTCTATGCGTCAAATTTGGCATGCAAAAGTTAACATGCAGTGTTACATACTTGTTTTTACTGGGTAATGTCTAAAATAACAAACGTTGAAGTGTGTCATTAGATTTCTTACCCATAAAAAGGAAATCAACTACTTGTCAAATGCATGCAAAGCGATGGATTTTCCCTACGATCCTTAATCAATTATTGGCCTCACCCGAGGTAAGGCATATTTAACACAGCTCATCTCTGCACCCACAATCAACGTAGATCACACTAGTTTAAACTGGAAAGTACATTAATATCAGGATCATCTAGTTCAGCCTAGACTTAACCGGTTTGTCCAAACCGGGTTCGGTAATACCAGTTTATCCTACGCTAAACCGGTATATCATATCCCATGTTGGTAGAACTAGTTTGGCCTAGGCAAAACTAATTTAGCCGTAAGATCGGGTTTGGCCGGTAACATTTACATTTGCTGCATTCCACAAAGGAAATATCTTGTGAATTTTGTTAGTGTACTCTGCACACTACTCTTTCAGGCATACAATTTAATTTTAACATATTAATGTACAATATGGGTGGACAATTATATTCGGTATAAGGTATCATTAGGGGAATTGATCTAAACACGTAAACGCCTCGTAACCATACAAACCTAATTTTTTATGGAAAATCGATTTATTTATAAGGTTCAAGCGGTTATGAGGCGTTTCCATGAATACCCATATTATAAAAAAAAAGATTCGGTGCTTCCACATTCTTCTACGTGTTTGGTCGAACTTCTCCTTCAATGTGGTGTGCGTCTTGATGTTGTTTTATAAATGGAAGGAAATACAGTTTTACGCCGCCTCCGAATGGCACATAGTTTTTAAGAGAAGCTTTTTCATGGCACAAGTACATTCGGAGGCTTGCCTTTGCGTACCGAGGAACAACATTTTTCTTTTAGATGTTGCCCTGGTGAACCTTGGTTCAATCTAGTGAATATACGCACCTCTAACCATTCGGCTAAGGCGACCGGCATCATTGATCTACATCAGGGGTTCCCAAACTTTTTCCACCTCGGCACCCTTGGTGTGCTAAAAAAATTTCGCGGCCCCCTTACTCTTCAAATGTATACGAAAACAAGAAAACACAATGCAGATCATGAATAGATAAACGATAACCTTAAACTCTTAGATGGGAATTGAAATTGGTTTTGTTTTTTTTTGCTTAAAAATTACTTGTTTATGTAAGCATTTGTTGAAAATGTAGTCTCACATAGAAATGTAAAAGTAAGGCCCCTATTATGAGTTGCATTCCGACCGAACGAATTTTCATTTGGTATTATGACGCTCATTCGATGAAGAATAGCGCTATTGTGAATTTCGCTGGGTTAGCTTGTTTACAATAGTACATTTTTCAACGCTGAGAAGTTTTCTTTACTAATCAAGCAAACTAAATAGTGTGCTTATACATATGTATGTAAATTTGTGCAAATTAAAATGAAATAAAAGAGAAAACGAGTTTATAAAAACGTGGTAAAAATGAGTGCAACGGAGTTCTGGTTCAACGATTCGTCAGGATGAGAGCTTGGTAAACTGGCCAGGAGTGGAAAATGCTTAAGAGGGTTTAAGCTTAGTCTTTCGAATATATTTTGACATAAAATATATTTGTCGCAGAACGCCCGCTTACCGTATCATCCATTGTGACTGATTTATATTTTCGAATTCTTCATTTATCGTATTTGCTTTGTATTCACTTCTTATTGTATTTGCTTTGCTATGTATAAATTTGAAGTTTGCCTTATGTATGTACATACATACATACTTACATATGTACAATTGAACTTTGCTTATATACATATGCATGTACAATTTGCCGTTATCCTATTTTGGAGGAATTTGAATTCACATACTTATGTACACATTTTCGCTGCTGTGAGTTTGCTCCGTCTTTGCCTTTTACTTGCCCACCATTCGTTGGTCAGCAGCCGGAGTAACACACAGCAAAATAAAGCGTTCCGTTCTTCGTACAAAATAGTAAACCAAAGACTTTTATTTTCCGTAGTAGCTGAATTCTGAACGCGTTAAATTTGTTAATAGCGGACCAATGACTACAATTTTATTTTGCTTGCGTTTTTTTGTCGTGATGTATTGTTTTTCGCGAAGTTTGTTTAAAATTAAATAGCCGCGCCGTAGTGCATACTCGCTTTTGATTGGGAAGTTGCTGCCACCGGTTATCTGATCTAAAAATGCAACGTACTCCAACCCGAAGGGGTCCTCGGCTAAACCAACAATTGCAAGCCAGCCAGAGCAATATGCACGCCAATTTAATTCTTTAGAGTCGATCGCTGAAGAGTCAATATTCGCGACAAGCATCAACGGTCGTGCCATGGACACAACAACTGCCTTAAACACCACTACGTCTGATGCCGACAGTGGAGTTAGTACAATCCCAGGCACGGACGCTTACGCCGCCAAAGCTTCCAGAGACATCACACCGGATATGCCAGCCCCTTCAGTCTTCGATCTCCAAGCCATGGAGCACCGGTTAGCTACGCTTGAAAGTATTTTGAAAGCTACGCAAGTACAGCTAAGGAAGCGTGACCTACAAAACGAGACCCTCAGAGCAGAGCTATGCGGAAGCGGTAGTTCCGCCGTTACGTACGCCAGTAGCGTAGTCGCGCAGTCGCAGCTATCACTGCCGCAGTCAGCGCAAGCGCCACCGTTAGACGCGCAGTCTAACGCAAGTCAGCCATTTGCTGAGTCCCGTTGTGGTGCCAGCTCACAGCCAATTATTTGCAGTACAATTTCGACAGCAAATTATTTATACTGTGCGTTTCATGTTGATGATACGTACTAATTACATTCGCCGAACTTATCGATGCCGCCTACCAACGCCAACGTATACATGCCGTATTCATCGTAACCTGCCTTAATGCCGCGAAAGTTGCTAGATTTGCCGGAATTTAGCGGACGACCTGAAGAGTGGCCTGTGCAGCATTTACCGAATCTACGGCAACTTATGGTTACACTAACTTCGATAACAACCAATGGTTGCAAAAGTGCTTAAAGGTTGATGCTCGCGAGATGG